GAAGACATTATAAACGTCTGAAAAATACGAATGCAGGGGGATACTTCTTAAATGAAGCTCTTAAAGGAGGGCAATATAAAGACTATAAAAGGTGCTCCTGCAAGAGGGATAAGCAAGACATCCATCTTGGGACAATACACCTCACTATCGTAGCTCCCAAATCCCATAAATAATCTAGAGAAATCTACCTATTGCAGCTCTCCCTATATCTATAGGGAAGCTACTCGTTTATTGTTTTTATGCAAGAACAAGTTTAAAAATATTTTTGAAAAACGTAGCTGAAATTTAAAAGAGTTAAGGAAAGAAGAAGTACACCGAGATTTATAGGTTCACTCAAAAACAACTTAGTCTTGTCTCCAATAATTAATTTTGAGAGTTTTCAATAAACTTTGAGAGTTTTTAGTAGGAATGACTCACGACCCCCCTTATACAAGGAAATTATAGTTGATTTTCAACCAAATAATAATAGACAATATATATGGGTGTTTGCACCTTTTCTTCTGAGTAAACTTAGGAGTGAAGTATCCAATCTTCCTTTCCAATGGTGGATTTAAGTGGTTAGTCCTTTTTCCGCAAGCACAGATCTTGGAGCCGTTAGTCTTCAAGTTCCTAAACCTTTGAGCTCAAAAACCTTGATTTTACACGGAATAACCAATAACCTGTGAGATTTTAACACCGGGATGATCTCGAACTTGTGAAGCTTTTGATACCGAACTAAGCTTCAATCTATATTGGTTTTAATATCGGGCCACCCAAGAACTAGAAATATTTTATCACGGGCTAGTCTCTAACCTAAATTAGGACTGAAACACACAATCCCAAACCAAAACTTTTTACGGGTTTAGCTTCTAACTCAAACAAATCCCTAAATGAATAATATTCAACTAAGGTATTTACAAAATATTCTCTTGATGAATTTACAATTCTATCCTTTCTAAAATTACAAATGTATTCTCACTCACAAAAAGACTTTTCTCACAAAGGCTTAGGCTAAAATATTAGTGAGAGAAAGTTAAAGAAAATTTTTAGAGATAGAGAGTGAAAGGTTAAAGTGTAAAAATATGATTCTAGATCAAATGAAATGAGAAAAGGGTCATCTATTTATAAGGTAGAGGTTGGCTCAAAAAAGAAAATTTCAATAAAAGCTTTTTATGACATTCTAATAGATTAAGACATAATAATAATCGATTAAAAGTTTGAAATACAATCGATTGTAAGTTTCTAAAAGGAAGGAAAAGTTTTCTAGTCGTTGTGCATCATTACGACATTGTCCTAATCGCTTGTAACTTAATTTTGAACTAATCTAATCGATTATATAAAAGATCTAACCGATTAAATAAATCAAAATTTTGCCTCTTGCAATTTTGACTGTTCCTAATTCATCTGATACAATTTCAAGATGTTTTTAAAATATTTTATTTGGTAAAAACATTTTGAAAACATTTGTGTGTTTTTCTGTGCTTTTACCCATGCGCTTTTACTAAAATATTTTTTTGGTTCAAACAAAATTTCAAAAAAACTCAATTAATATGATCATAGGATTTTTCAAGATCTATTTTGAACACCATGTCAGCTTTTTTTCTTTTTGATTTACGCATAGAATGAATTGTTTTTTGAAGGATAATTGCATTATCATTTGTCCCTTTACCAAGCAAAAAACTACTCCAGAATGGTTCGACTATTTAATTTAGATAATGACACAATTTGTAATCATAATCTTCATAGTAAGCTTGTAAATTGTATTGCACAAGCTAATGGGTCTGAATTTTTTATAATTTTGGAGGACAATCTACCTTAATATTGATGTGATAAGAGTCTCAAAAAGAGATGAGTGAAAGCTACATGTCACAAAAACATATGATATAAGTTGGACAATGTTATCTCTAACTATATGCCAAAATTGAGTAAAGAAAATACTATGGAAGAATCCATCAGGGCCACAAAAGCATTGTTGTGTGTGTGTGTTTGATTTAGTATATTTTAAACCACTTTTGTTATATTTGAATAATATGTATATCTATTTGGGATGATTTTGTAGTTTGAGTGGGTTTGATTTATGTCTCTAGTATTTTGTATTTCCTTTATTTGAGAATTTAACGTGTCATCTCCCTGTTATACATGACACCCCCCAAAGAGTATGAGAAGACTAAATTATTCAAACCCAAATATTTCTCAAAAAATTTAAATTTTCAGTACCACAACTGATTTTTTAAATTCGTTGGGCGATACTGGAAATTTCAAGGCGATACCGGAAAATTCGTGAAATAATAAGGAATTTACGATGAATTTGTGTAATTTCCGGGTTTAATATTTATCTTTTGTAGCGGAAATTTTAAAATTTCCGGAGCTTTGCAGCATGTACCAGAAATTTCAAAATTTCCGATAGTTTAAATTTTTTTGAAAAATATCGCAAATTTCTAAATTTCCGATAATTCATATTTTCCTCGTTTTTTCCTCCTTTTATTCATTATTTCAGTGAGGATCAGGGGAAAAGATAGTTTTGTTGTGAGCAGGGTAGCCGATAGAACGGAAGCTCAAGTCTGGATTGACGAGGCACTGACTTTCGAGCTACGGGCTGGACGACATCCTCCAATCAATTCTCATCGGAAACAGATGGTTGAGCAGCAGGCGCAGTTTTGCGTATCCCGCTGTCGAGGACTTAGAGTTTTTATTGTCGAGGAGGTACATGTTCCTGCTCCTGTGGCACACAAACTAAAACTAAAAATAAAAACAACTAAACATGAAATCCTAGGCACTACCGGATGATTCTACATGTTTCAACATCTTGAATATGTCGTCGACGGATCTTCAGATCTCCGCATCCAACTCAATCGAAACTTTAGTTATCCTACGGCGAAATGTTTTCACATTGCCTTTACATCTTCATCGGTCTTCAACTCAATCAGGTTGTATTTCACCTAACCATTTGTATCAATATAATAGTCCCGAAACACAATTTTTGTCACCATTCTATTATCGAAATCAGACAGCAATGCACTCAACGTTTCTTTCAAGGTGGCAAGGGATGTGTTGCCATCTGGAAGCTTGAATTCAATAGCAAGGTTGCTTCCGTTGTAATATACTTCTGCCTTAATCGGAAATTGTGGAAGAGATATTTTTTGAGATATTTTTCTCTATAGCATATGCCCATATTATACAAATGGCGATGCATTCTAGACCACACAAATTTGTTGGTGCAATAAGAACCTCCAAAGATGTCGGAAAAATCTCGACCGTTAAAAAAACTTGAATAAGTGAACTATTAGAAATTTTAGTATAACTCAAATTTTCTGTACTGCCTAGTAAATTTGAAATTTCCAAAATACTGGAAATTTCAAATACACTATCGAAAATTTACATAAACCGAAAGTTTTGAAGGGGTGTACCAGAAATTTTGTCTATACCGAAAATTTCAAATCCTCTACTAAAAATTTCGTTCGAAAATTATTTGTATCTCAACAAAAATAATTCTGGAATAATTAAAATTAAAGATGCCAGATTTAATTGGGGGTGACAAGTTAAATGCCGCCTTTATTTTCATCTTATATTTTTTGCTTATAAAAAAAAGTACCTTTTTGATAATAAAATTCATAAGTTGATTGATTTGATAAAACTATAAAATAATTTCGCTTGCAACTATAGCAAGATGTCGAATCTAAGCAGAAATTTGGTCAAATACAAGCTGCCTCTGAGAAAAAGATTCAAGCCTATCAAACATGCCCACCAAAGCTTCGCTTTTAAGGTCTTTCCTACAAAAACCCTACACATCCCCCCTCCTCCCATTCTCCATCACGATACTCATCTTTCTCCTTAATTTTTTACATGCAACTCACCATAACCATGTTAAAGAAGAGGCATATGAACTTGTGACCTATTATAGGATCCCTAACCTTTGTGTATAATCTATTAGATCCAAGCAATAACCTTTTTAGATTTTATTAGGGAGTTTGGAGGAGAAGATTTTGGAAAATGGAAAGAATTGAATGTAAAATTTAGAAGGATTTAGGTGGAGAGTTTTAGAATATTTATTTTTATTCAAAATTGTATTGAATAAAGATTTTCAAAGACTTAAATAAATTGTTCAAATATAGTTTTCATGGTTATAATACTCCAAAAATTAAAAATACTCTAATGATAAATACTATTGTGATTTTATAAAAAAAACAATCAATTAAAATTTTCTGTATATTTTTTAAAAAAATCATTTTTTTAAATCTTTTCTTTCCCTCTCCTCAAAACTCTCAAACAAAACCTTAAAGTCTTCGGTCTTTGGAGAAAACAAGTGGTTGAAGGATACGAATGGTTTGTAACTCTCCAGGCAAGTTGGGGGAGGAGGTCGAGAAGAAGGCTGAAAGGAATAGGTGTCAGGGGAGAGGAAGTCAAAGTGATGGGCAGAAGGTTTTTCTTTTTGAAAAAGAAGAACATGAACATATGGTGGTGTGAATAACATTAGTCAAATTCCTATTTTGCGATAATGTTGTCAAAATAGAGCTTTGGAGAGTCAAGTACTGATTAAAATGTACTCGCTTTGTTTTCTCATCAGAAAAATATACTAAAGTGCCGTTTCAGTAAAAAAAAAACAGTAATGGTTGTTCAATCGATTGCCTCATTGGTAATTTACATAGCAAGGATATGCCTTTCTCGAGCTGTAACTCACAACACTATGTACTTTAACTAATCTATCTGTTACTTGATAGGCAGGTGATAAATAAATAAAAAATTAAGGAGACGTTTGACTCCTGACATCGTGATCAATTTGCTTTTAATAAGTTTTTAAACAGATGTTAACAAAGATACTAAACTAAGGTATATGGTCATGGGATAGAAGAGTGAAGTAGATGAATAATGCAAAATGATCGTTATGCCATGTTACATGTACTTCTCTACCCTATCAGAAATGCTTAAGAAGGCTGACAAAAGCAATTAAGTTGTAAGAATCTCGGTCCATGGAATCAATCATGGAGCTTTTAGAACTCAAACCATTACACACCCCTCAAACCTTATGCAGCTGCACTTGGCACCGGTACAGATTTTGAGTCTTCTGCCCTTTCATGTTCTTTGTTGAGCATCTGAAATTATTTTTCAAATATTAAGTCATAAAACATAGTTAATGAATCCTACATACAGAGCCAAAATAAGAAAAGATCAACAATACTTCGTCCAAAATTCAGGATACTGAATCTCACCTTATTGTTAATCAAGTTGTGGAGTGCAATTACACTTCTGATGAGTGATGATAGGTATATTACCAGCATCATATCATTGGTTTTCACTACACATGTAGGACAAGGATCAACAATTTAGAAGAGATATTCAGAATAAACATCCTATTCATACAATTAAATCATAAATCATAACCTGCAAAAGCCTTGATAAGATCGGATACATTAAGATTTGGTAGCAGGTTGAACACGTCCTAACAAATTGCAACAAGAAATTAGATGGTGAAACAGCAATAATGGAGCAAAAGCAACAATAAATGTTGCTCCATATTCACAAACAATTTGATAACGCCAGGGGATCAGTATTCAATATGTAAGATTATGAGAAACAAACCTGTAGATGGTATAGGATCTCATGGTTTAAGGGAAGCTTTTCATCGATAACAAGATCAAGGTAACTCCTTATCTCTTTAAGCCTTGCATCCAAACCTTTCAAGGCTGTGAGTTTCCCGCTCACCTATGCCAAAAACTACAGTGTAAAGCACTCTGCATTCATTTTTTCCCACTAAAATGAACAAACATTACAGGGGAAAGATCGTATAAAAATAGATGCATCGTGAAAAAGGAAACAAAGAAAAAGAAATTAAAAAGTAATGATATGTTTAAGGAAAAAAACCTCGGTTGCAAGGGTGCTGATGGTTGTATCTTTTACATCCCTGAGCAAGTGTTCCACTCCTGCACAAGGATAGGAAAAATTCATAAAAGAAAATGATCAGAATCTAAATGGATTAAATTCAAAAGCTTAAAGAAAAACAAACAAAAATAAACCATAGCAGTTTTACATTAAATGCTATACCTATTTCCTCAACCTCGTGAGCAGCTATCTCTGATTGCACATGCACAAAGACCTTTTGGCTTTTCTGGGTAGCATTCTGCATTCAGAATAAACTATCTATCAGATCCTGTGTCTAGCGATTAAGCTTCAAGCAAATATTAGTTCTTCTCCCCACCATCTTTATATACAGATGACCCATGTTTGCAATAATATCGATGAAATTTGAAGTTTGATATTTTTATCATAGATACAAAGGACTTAAACTCTACCTCTTTAACTTCCTCAACAGCATAGTATGCTTTTGTTGGAATTCCCAGCTCCTTAGGTTCAACATCAATTATAACCAACACTGGATTTGGAACATAGCTGCAACAGTTTTAAGCATGATCAATTTGGATAAACATTGATCTGGGATACAAAGCACGGATGAAGACAATAATGCTAATAAAGAGGAAAACAAGATAACAGCAACACAGAAATGTCAAATAAAGTTCCAACCAAATCATGTCAATCTTTTCACAAGGGTAAATGGGTAAAGAAATTACTAAGCCACTAAATTTGCAAATATTTTAGGGAGATATTGGTGCTAAAATGGAGTAAAAGCACAGTATTGAAACATCACTATAAACAGGATTTCAGTTCATTAAACATACTCATTAAATAACCCATGAATGTCGAGGTCATTTTCACGCAATTTTGGACCGGTGCTATACCACCCGACGACATGCTCCTTTGCTGTAAACAGTGTTTGTTTAGATCAGATGTTCAGTGGAGAGAAAGATACTGGCAATTGAAAAATATACCAACTCATACCATTTATTCTCTTAAACATTGAAAACATTGCTTCGTGGTAATTGTGGTCGAGAAACCAAATGCTAGGATCCTTGTCATCTTCTTCAAAGGGCACTGTTGATTAGATAACCAATTAGCAAGAGATATAAAATAAACATACTCTATTACCTGAACTAAAGTTATGATAGAGTATGATAGAATCATCTAAACTAAAGTTATAATGCAAATATTGATTGTACACCTTCAACTGGGTATCCAACTCAGTAAACAGACCAATGGAGCAACTAGTGTCACGAGAAACTTCATTGTCCCTTTATACGTACTATATAACAAACATGTCAATTTAATAAGAAGTCACGATTTACACGAGTGTGGTCAAAAGTCATAAAAAATTCTTTGAAGTTATAAATAAGACAATGAAAAAGATCCAAAAGTTCTTCAACCATCACACAGAACAGTCATAGAGATTCAACTATCACACAGAAATGCCATGCAAATTCAATTAAGTTTTAAGTTAGCTGTTTACTGCCTAGCCTACCAAAAAACATTCCTTCAACCACCACACCGAACAGTCAAAGATTCTACTAAGTTTTATGTTGGCTGTCCAAGGCCTAACAAAAACATTCAATCATCACATAGAACTACATGGTCTATACTCCAAAGAAAATTAAGGTTCAAATTCTCAAGAACAAGTCATCTAATGCTTTGAACCATCTCATTGCTAAATCACACCTCATAGAATCGCCAAAAACTACGTGCATTACATCAAATAGGTAACAGGTGGAGCAAAACAGAAGGTTAGACTTACACATATACTCCTAAACCAGAAATCAGGTCTGGATTCAAATATAGCAAATCTTAAGTTACATGAACTGAACTCTTCACATAGATCATTTGAATTCAAATTAACATAAATTATCAACTATACTTTATCTTGCTAAAATTAGGGCACAAATTATCATAACAAAGCATTGACATTGAGTGAAACAAATAACTAATAAAAAATCAATGTAAAGTGGAGTTGGAAGAGAGAAAAGATCCGAACCGGCGTAGCTGTTGGAAACATCGACGGTGCCTTTGAAAGTGGAACCGAGCAAAACGCCGACGACGCGCTTGCGTGTGTCCTTGGCGACTCTGTTGTAGTTGTCGACGATGCTGAGCAAGACTAATGGATGAACCACCACCTTCTCGATCGATCGAGATGAGATTTGCTGCGTTTTAATCACATCCATACTGAATTTGAAGCTTAGATTTCACTCTTGGGTATCGGATTCAACTGTTTTCTTTCTCTTCAATTTTCCCTCTGCTTCACCGGTCACTCTACCCTCTTTTTACTTCTTTTTTTCTTTTCGATTCTTTTCGTGTTGGACACGAATACGAGATCTCTACGGGACTTTTTCTTACTTTCTAGTGGCCCAATTAGTCTTCAAATCGAATTGGGCCAATGGCCCACTATATTCTTATACATTTTCTTAGGCATTGTGTGAAATTTTTAAAATGTTCACGGTTTTCAGATATACATTTTCGAATGCATTAAATATCATTTTTTCACTATATAATTTGGAGATGCACAACCGAAATCTTTTTAAGAGTGTGCTCGGGGACATATCTTCGAACATGACTCGGTTCCTTAAATCAGAAGCATGACAGAAAGAATGAAAACTTAAAACAAACCCAACACCAACATCAATATTTCATTAGATAAAAATATTCTATATAGATAGTCACGAAAATAAATTCAACATTACATAATCATTTCATCGGGACGTTGCAACTTAGTGATTATATCCTTGACGGATCTTTGAATCTTCGCATTCATTTCAATCGGACCCTTTGATAAACAGAGAAAAATACTCCACATAACCTTTAAATCTTCATATGTCTTTAGTTCAAGGTTGGTGAAATGGACATTCTCGTCGTTGTCAAACGAAGGTGATCGATACTCGAGCTTGACAACACTGCGATTTTCAAAAAAGTGCGAGAGAGTATTTAGTTGTTGATAGGTTATGCCGAACACGACATATGCCATCTGGGGCTATAGTTGTAAACACATAACACTTGAAGCATGACACAAGGAACAAAAGCACCACTTCTAACATGCATCAAAGAACACAAGCTCTTTCACCGCATCAAACAACCGCAACACCACCACCGCCTCATACCACTGCAGCACCACCACCGCCTCATACAACCGCAACACCTTCCCCGCCTCTTACAACCCCAACACCTCCACTGCCTCAAACAATCTAAGCAGCATCACAGCCTCAGACAACCGACACCACCGACATTTAAGGAATGCATATTTGTTCCTACCCCTGGAGTGATACATCATGTTTTGCAAGGTCCAGCTATCAATCACACCATGATAGCAGAGAAGGAAGAGGAGAGAGACCAAAATGTTTCGGATGAGGAAGAGGAGGCCGCGGAACAAGCATTTGTTGATGGACAAAGGCCGATGATTAGCATTGTGGGAAACGGGTAAAAAATTTAGTTACACACACTTTTTGATTGAGTGATATGTGTCTGTTTTCTTTATACACTATGAGAGTACACATAATCTTTAATATTCTGCACCAGCTACCCTAATAATAATCAAATTAAACATTAAATGCAACACAATGAAACACAACTTTCATAAGTCAATTGTTGTTGTTTAGTGTTTCTTCATGGTTGGCTATGTAAAGTGTTTTGGTACATAAAGTATGGAGTTAAAAATCCTTTTTTTGCGGTCCAAATTTGATGTTGTTTAGTGTAAAACACTTAGATAATCTCTGCAACACTTAGATTTTGCTGCTTATTCAAGTATGAGAATAGGTCTATAACATTATAACATAGTACATTCACCAAATAAATGTCTAATACAAATATACTACTAATAAATTGCACATCAAAAACACAAAATAGATCCCATAGAATGCAATGCATTTACATAAGTTTGTAAAACTTAATTTTTTTATGCGTTACTATGGAATACTATGTCCACATGTTCTTTGTTATAATTGTTTTGTAAACTTGGTATTTTCTTTGTAGGTTAACTCCAAGCAGGATTGTTGCTGAAGCTATTAGAAAAGTTTTAATAACACTTTATAAAAGAAATTTCTTGCAGTATAGTGAGCTTATACCTGAGAATAGAAGAGAAGAGAGACATGCATACTTTGATTTATTTAAAGTAAGACATGTAATTTTCTTTTTACTATAGTATGATGATAATGTATTTTTTTTTACAGTTTAATCAACAATATTTCTCTTTTGGCAGTCTTTTGTTCAGTGGGAGTCGTGTGCTGACGCTAAAATACAAGATTTGTTTCATAAAGCTTGTGGTAAAAGAATATCTGACATATTTGGTAAGATTAGGAAAAAGGGGGGAAAACTAAAATGGATGGGTGAAAAGGTTTATGTGTATCTTCTTGATGGGTGGAAAATGGAAGAATTCAAAAAGGTCTCTCGACAAAATAAGACTAATCGAGCATCAACCAAAGGGGGGGGGGGGGGGGGGTCCATACCACGGGACGTAGAGCTCATCATGATGTTGCTATAGAATTGGTGTGTATTCTATTTGTAATTACAATGCGTCAACATATTTATATCTGATATTCATTGTAACCATATATATGTTGTCTTTATTTATAGGAGAAAAAGTTGAGCCGACCACCAAATCCGGACGAGCTCTTCATGTTCACCCACAAAAAGAAGAATGGGCAGTGGGTTGACCGTCGTGCAGAGAATACACATGTAAGACCTTTTTTTATGCCTTAACTTAATTTGATTTATGTGTATAGTTTTTTCATACTGCATTAATACTTCCATACTGCTTGCTTGCTATTATATTTCATCTTTCCATTCCAACTACTGCTGCCATCAGTGTCCTCAGGTCATTATTGTAATGCATCCAAGAAAAATATATAGAAATTAAAAACGTTATATTATTGCATCTTAAGTAGTGTTGTATGTACTTTTGACACTGAATTCAGTCTTATTCAATTCTTGAATATATCTCCTGAAATCTGTGATAAAAGCATGTGGACAGCATTTTAACCATAAATGCAATTGAAATTTAAGAAAGTAGGGAAGACATGAAATTGTTGAATTTTTAAATTAGCATATGATATTATAGATTTGGCAAAACAAAATTTTATTTGAAATTTGAAGTTTGACAAGTTTTGATGCTAACTACACGTGAAACTGCTCATATTAGACTGAGTTTCATTTTGCTTTTAAGTTGAGTTATTGCAACACATATTAATTGTGCCAACTGCCAAGGCTCTCATTGCACAGTAGATAGTGTGACTGTCGAGTCTTTGTTTTTTGTTTATGAATTGATTTTCAAACTATCAGAAGTTCAATACTTGATTAAATATCAAAATACAAAGTTCCCCAAAACATATAGGAGAGTAACAAGAATTGTATAAAATTGTAGTATAAGCTTTTATGGATGAGCACTTGTTGAATGGACAAACTTTATGAACTACTACAATTATCATATATCTTATTGTATTGGAATGTCCTAATTATTATATTGTGTTGTACAGGATGATTATGTGAATCGTCTAACATAAGCCACCCAAAATTATAATAATGTGGATGGGTCGGAAAAGCTACAATTATGGAAAGAAGCTGTCGGTGGTAAGTCACGAGGCCGATGTTATCGAACTGCCCGAATGGCAGTCAACATACAATATGGAGTGTCTTACTTGACACAAGTGAGCGTTTCAAACCCGAATAGAGAAGCGGAGAGCCAAGCCATTGAGACGCCTAGAGCTGAGGCTTCTAGAGCACGTGAAGAGGCTGCATTAGCTAATGCGCGTGCAGACGAAGTGAATGCGAATGCAAGAGAAGCTATAGCTAAGACAGTAGAATTGAAAAGGAAATTTGAAAAATTTCAGAAACAATTGTTTGCTTGGCAGTCGGGTTAGGCGGGTACTTCCACTGTGCCTTCTAGTGTCCATCCTAGTCCTAGTGATCATTATGATGATGACTCTGATGGTCAGTCATTGGATCTAGAGGGAATGAGTGATGGATGTTGACATTGTCTTTTTCTTAGTTTTAGAACTTGTTTTGTGGATTTTCATTAGTTTGATATTTTATGTTGGTATTTTGATGTAACTTTGACATCTTTATGTAACAACATTGTGGATGAGAACTAATTTGATATATTGTGTCAATATTTTGATGTAACTGTGACATGTTAATTAATGTAGCAATATCGTAGATTTTTGGAAGTTTTTTTATCTTGTGTTGAAGTTTTTATGTGATAATATATCAATGAATAGTTTGAATTACAAAAACAGGTTTAAATTTCAAGTAGAACTAATTTGGTTTTAAACAGGTATAAATATTTTAAAACAGAAACACAAAAGTAAATAAACAGTAGCGTCGATTAAAACCGACGCTACTGAACATCATAACACCGTTGGCGTCGATTTTGAGCTACGCTACATTGCACGACTTTAGCTATGTAGCGTTCATTATGACCTACGCTGGACCTTAGAAATAGTGGCCCACATAACCGACGCTAATACATTGAAGACAATATTTAAGTGACCTTATAAATCGACACTATTTAGAGAAAAAAAACTACAGCGGCCTTCTAAACCGCCACTAAATAAATGTTAACGTCGACAGTAACCGACGCTAAAGAAAAACAATTTTATAATGTAGCGTCAGTTTTGTTAACATAGCGTCCCTTTAGCATTGTCGTAGCCGACGCTACCTGTAACGAAGGCTGGCCATTATGGTTTGCTTCCATCTTTAACGTGTCTGCCCCGACGCCAAGTCGATGCTAACGGCATTTAGCGTCAGTTTTTTGCTTTTTAGCGATGGTTTTTGGCTGACGCTAAAATGCAATTTTCTTATAGTGATAAGACTTCTTAAGTAATATAGATTTATTGAAAACCTTAATGTGAAACATAGTTTAAATAGGCTTTCAGGCTAGACCAGACTTTTAAAAATACTAGGTCTGACAAAAAAATGAGTCTATAGTAGACCATAGACCAAGCTCAGGCCATGTAAATTTATCGTAGGCCAGACTTAGACCTTATAAAACATAACCTAGTCTATTTCCACCCCTAACCACTAGTTTTGAATAAGAGTAATAAAAAGTATAATATGGATTACTTCTAAATGACAACCATTTATAAAACTTCCAACTTGGTTTGGTACATTTTTTATACTAGCGTATTCCTATGTGTGTGTAAATGGTTCATGGTATTCAAAGAGTGGAGCAGGCCCAAGACATGACTCAGTTACAATGTATGGCATATATCCTTTATGCATTAATTTCAAGGGAACATCTCTCGTGTGAGTCAGAACCCCAAGTATCCAAAATTAATATGCATAATCCAACAGAGTATACCCACATGCAAAGAAGAATGTCCAATATTTATTACAGAAACTAAACTAATCTACCAGGGTAACAATCACTAGGTAATAAGATTAAATTAATTTGAACACACATACACAACCTTAATTTTCTTTTCTGAAACACTAAAATCTAACAATAATCTATTTTATTTGATTCCAACTATCATTACCACCACCACAATAAAAGATTAATTCCAAGGTTACATAAAACTTAAACAAAGATCTAATGGTGGATGATCCATTTGTTCCCTCATTGTGTATGAAAACATATTATTATTATCTCTGCATTCATTTGTATAGTTCCTCAAATTCTTTGATCCTGATTCACCAAATGAGTTCAAGGGGAAAAGCTCAAGTGTCTCAATCACCCTCTTGGGCTCTGAAACCTGATAGAGCTGAGAAAAATCTGCTAAAACAAAAGAAAAATGGTTAGCAAAATATTAAACCATAAAGTTTAGGTGAGTTCAGAGTCAGCGAAAAGAGCGCTTGGTTTGCAGAGATACTTACTTTGTGAAGAAGAATTTCCGGACGTAGTATTTTCTCGACGAATATTGTTATCGTCATCATCATCTGAGTTTGAAGCCTTGCGACGACGCTTCTGTCTCTCCCTAGCCTTATGATTTTGAAACCAATAGAAAACATTTTTACTCTCAATCTTACCATAAAAACTAAGCTGAGTAGAGATTTTCTGAATCTGATCAGTACTTGGAGTACGAAGTCCTGAACTGAAAAGTTCAGTCAGAACCTTAACTTGTTCATTAGTTGGATTCCAACGCCCACATTTTGTGCCAGTCGTAGTAGTACTGCCACTACGAACACAGCTTCCACTTCTAATACAAAAGCCTGACATGCTTCTCTCATCCATATTTTCAGACTCTCTCTCAATGATTCTTTCTGTGCCTGTGTCTGAACTTCAAAACTTTACCTCAGAGCTTCTGAAGTCTGAACCAGAAAGATCTTAGTCCGTGTGCATTTATAATACCATACTAGTAATGAATAATCTAGTGACTGTATCTTTGTCTTTTGTTAATATTCTAATTCAACTTTTCTGTTTTCTTTGAATATAATTAGAGAATGTGATTGAGATTTAACTATATATGCGGGTTTTGATTTAGCCTGGTTTTTTGTGCTTGTTAATAATAAAGAAATATAAAGACAAAGACATGCGTGAAAGCATTCACTATTCAACGTTTTGGCCTTGGACCAGACAATGCATATGTGTCTCTAACATTTGTTAAATATGTAGTTTAATCCTCAAATTGGCATTTTGGTGAAGGCTTGACACCTTTTCTATTTTCAAAATCTAATGTCCGAATTCTGTTAGGTGTTAACAATCTCTGTTGGTGAGTTCGTAGTTTTAAAATTGCGGTTGGAGTCGCGGATGCCGTTGCTTTTACGGATGTTGCGATTGCGGTCTTTACACTTGCTGCGGTGTGCATTGCAGCTGTTGCGACGGGATTTTTGAGTGAGAGGTGTTTTGAATTCACCATTCATAAACACTTAATTTTAATTGAGTTTTGGAGCTATGAAATTATGAATTTTAATACAAACTCTTGAAGAAACATGAATGAAATTGTGTAATGCAATTGAAGAGTCTAATGTATCAATAATATTGACCGTAATTGTAATAATATTGTGACTGTAATTGCAATTGCGAATCTCAATTTAAAGCCATGAATCAGTTCATATAGAGTTTTAAATGATTAAGTTAATGGAATGTGAAATTGGTTATCTTAAATTATTCAGTCTCATGTCTAAATACAAAAAATTTGGAAAAGAAATTATGCTAATGTCCAAATACAAAAATTTTGGAAAAGAAATTATGCTATAAGAATATAGCTACAACAATGTTTTTTAGTATTATATAAGCATAATCTTTTTTATGTGTCTATGTGTAGTTACCAACTTTTAATATCTTATGCTTTATGGTGCATCAACAATTGAACACGCTTAAGAGATAAGTTGAATTCTATGAAGACATGTGAGTTGTGCCAAATTTTAGTTTTAAAAGAAGTTGTTGTCTGGTAAAGTTCAAAAAGAATGGTTTAAAGTTGTTAAATATTTGATTAAATATATGATGGAGTATAGTGGGAGAGGAAGTGAAAGTCAAAGTTACACATTGTTTGAACACTGTTGGACGGTTTTGATCAGAATAGAGACTAACATAGATACTTAGTTAGGTGGACTAGGTTTCTAGAAAAACTTCTTTTTAAGATATGAAAACATAAACTAAAAGACAACAAATCCGCTAGTTTGAGAGGTTTGGAAAGACAAGTTAATTTATGACCAACAAAAGCGGAGGAAAATTGGTCATTTTCTTAGGTCTTTGGTAATTGTCTTTCAAAAATAGGAACCAACACATCTTCTCTTGGCATTTTTTCTATTTAGTTTAGTTTAAATGACTATGATATGTTAGTAAGTAGTCAAGTTTTTATGATTGAAATATTCTTATTTGAGCTAGAAATTATTATGGGAATCTTGATTCCATATAGTCATCGCACCACGCATTCAGAGCATTGAAAATCATTAAATCATAATTATATGGTTCAAATTTAAATTTAATATTTTATTTTAATATCAAAAGTAAAATTTATTTTTTCTAAACTGTTAAATTACAATCGAACAACCACTAATACTTTGAATGCGTGATGATGTTAATCGCGATCAAATCAATTTTCTACCATAGCACAATACAAGCAATGAAGACCTGACATCTCTCTAAAGTGTCATATTGGCGTGTATGACACGCTTGAGACATTGACACTTTAGTACAAATTTTAGACGGTGTCAGGAAAATCTCTTAATATTATTTGAATTAATATCTATTGAACATTTATCGTTAAGAATTATATTGGATAATATATGACATAAATATATGTTTACATGTGGAGTAATTTTTATTCTACATATCAATTTTATATAATTGATTTATCTTCTATCAAATTTCGACTATCGAAATATCCACCATTTATTTTTCATGTTTAAGATATCTAATAATGTTAAGTATCTCGCATCAAAAAATAATATATGATCTAAATATATATTTATAAATACACCTTACAAACAATTTTGTATAATTGAGTAAGATTCAAACACATCTTAACACTCCTCAAGTGACTGACTAAATCATTATTAAGAAATTAATGCAAAGAAATGAAATTAAATAATTAAATGGGTTAAATATATTTTATCTCCTTGTAATAATAGCGAGTTTTAATTTGTTTTCTTTTAATTTTTTTTCTTTTAGTCCTTCAATAAAATAAGATTTTCTCAAATTTGACATTGGGTCAAGATTCAAGTAGAATCTACATATGCGGCGTTTGACATGACTTTTTTTTTTAATTTTTTAATTTTTTTTTTAATTTCACGTGGAAATTCGACTATTTTTAATTTTAAAATTTTCTTTTTAAATTTTTTTAAATTTTTATTTATTTATCCCATATTAATTTGATACATTAATTTTGCGTGATACTTAATTTTTTCGGTAGGTACTTAATTTTATTTTTTGAACGATTGAAAATACGAATCTAATAGTATACACGATCGAAAAGATAATATATAGGTGAGTAGAAAATACGAATTTAATAAATTAGTAGTTGAAATACATAGTATTTTGTTGAGGTTTTTTTCTTCTTCCGAAAACAAGTAATATATAAAGGGAATA